AAAGGGGGGGGGGGGGGTTCTATAATATCCATCATAATATCAGATGTTTATCTTAAAATTAGAGTAAAGGTCCTTAATCCTGCCTGTGTATCAGAATTTTCTTAGAGCTTTTAAAGTATGTAGATGCCCTCGCCCCACTTCCTAATGAATTTCATCTTTAGATATAGGAGAGCTCAGCATCTATATTTTGGTAAAGCTTTGTTCCCTTATGGGCAATCTGGATTAAGCACTACTAAGTTAGAATAATAAAGGTTAGAAATAAGCTCTCTTTATATTGATACCTGGAAAAGAACAAGTTATATTTCGTGGAAATGGTTATTAACCATTTCTGCTTTTGAATGTTTTTCTTTTGTTATTCTGAATTTTGAAAATATGGTACATTTAGATAGGATTTTGAGTATAATAAGTTGCAGTCCTAATTTGAAATAAATAGGCATTCAGATATAGGTTATTATAGCCCATAATGTTTTATTCGGCCATTTTTGATCACAAGTGATAGTAGCCCAACTAAATAACTACAATAATAAAAGCATAATATGCTGATTAAACCAGACAGCCAAACACCTTCTGAATGTTCTTCCGGACTAAGCCGGGGCTGCGAGGGCAAAGCCAAGCCGCCGCGGTTGTGAGGGCCAAGCCCCTTGCACGAATTTCGGGCATCGGACCTCTAGTTCTTAAATAAAAGTGGGTATTTACCAAAAGTATAGGTTTGGTGCTGGCTTCTGGCACCATTGGTGTCAGTGAGTCAAAATAACTTTATCAGAACTCTGTCTCCTTTCTTATTTCTCTATTCTTTTCTTCTCTTTGTTGACTTATTTTTGGGTAGTTTTTTTCATTTGTGGTGTGAAAAGTGACCAAATAATTCAAGGCTCTCATCCTAGCAATTTAACATCCTCTGAACATAGGTTGTTTAATTGTCTCAGTATAGCCAAACACCCATTTCTGGCACAGGAGAATCACAGGGTTAAGCAGTTGCAGATCACTTGGAAGGAATAAGATTATCAGAGAATTGGAGAGAGTGATTTTCCAAAAGATTCAGGGCAGAGAATGTATACTTATAATGTACCATTTGTAGGTTATTTGATAACATATATAGAGTTAAATAACTTGAATTTTGCTTTATTTCTTCTTTTGGTGCATTCATTTTGGTGTGACAATAATATATAGGAATAGGCAAATTATCTACGGCTGATGGTAAAGCCTTTGCAGATCCTGAAGTGCTTCGGAGGTTGACATCATCTGTTAGTTGTGCGTTGGATGAAGCTGCTGCTGCACTTACCCGTATGAGAGCTGAAAGCACAGCAAATGCAGGGCAGTCGGACAAGTAAGTACATCTTCATTGTAATCAATATAAAAAACATTTTCTTAAAAATAATAAGTTAACATTTATTTTGTTCCTGGAACTATACCAGACATTTTACATGTGTTACCTTGTTTATACTAACAAAAAGTCTTAATCATGGGTTTTGTTTTTATACCCACTTTACTCATGAAAAGCTTAAGAGAAGTGAATAACTTAAGTTTAAATAGGTGACAAGTGGCAGAGCTGGGTCATCAGTGTCCGCCTGTCTGCAAAGCTGACTTCTTAGCTAATACATTATAAAAGATATTTTGCTGATTTAGGTTTTCTTTTCTTTTAATGTTTTGGTGACAAAGAAGTAAATGCTTTCTAATTAGTCATACCATTTTCCAGTTTATGTATATAGTTCTGTTTTAAAGGGCATGGTTTTTATTTGTTTGTTTTATAAATGTACAAAAAATATCATAGATCTAGTTCCATTACTTGAATGTAACACTTATATTCAAGCACATTGAAGCATGTACATTTATTTTTGTATGTTCTACAATTCCTTTTATATAGTACTAGAGGCCCGGTGCATGAAATTCAAGCACAGGGTGTGAGAGGGTCCCTCAGCCTGGCCTGCACCCTCTCCAATCTGGGACCCCTTGGGGGATGTCTGAGTGCCAGTTTAGGCCTGACTGTGGGATCGGGCCTAAACCGGCAGTCGGACAACCCTCTCGCAATCCGGGACCACTGGCTCCGAACCGCTCACCTGCCTGCCTGCCTGATTGCCCTAACTGCTCTCCGTTGTCGGCCTGATCCCTAACTGCTCTCTCCTGTCGGTCTGATCCCCCTAACTGCTCTCTCCTGCCAGCCTGATCTCCCTAATTGCTCTCCCCCGCTGGCCTGATCGTCCTAATTGTTCTCCTTTGTCACCTGATCCCTAACTGCTCTCCCCTGCTGGCCTGATCCCCCTAACTGTTCTCCCCTGCCAGCCTGATTGCCCTAACTGCTCTCCCCTGTCACCTGATCCCTAACTGCTCTCCCCTGCCGGCCTGATCGCTCCTAACTGCCTCTGCCTCGGCCCCGCCATGGCTTTGTCCAGAAGGACATCCAGAAGGTCGTCTGGAAGATGTGCAGTCTAATTAGTATATTACCCTTTTACTAGTATAGATAGTAAGGGTTCATTCACTAAATATTTTGTGACTTAGCTTTTTAAAATTTTTCTGATGATGCTATGCAATAAAAGTCACATCATCTCATATATGAAAGTAATTATGTACATAGTAGTGTGAAAAGTGGATGTAAACCCTAATCGGTTTGGCTCAGTGAATAGAGTGTCGGCCTGCGGACTGGAGGGTTCCAGGTTCGATTCCGGTCTGGGGCATGTGCCTTGGTTGCGGGCATATCCCCAGTGGGGGGTGTGCAGGAGGCAGCTGATCCGTGTTTCTCTCTCATCGATGTTTCTAACTCTCTATCCCTCTCCCTTCCTCTCTGTAAAAAATCAATAAAAGATATTTTTTTTAAAAAGTGGATGTAAACTACAAAGAAATGGCTGGGGGAACATCATTAATACTTGTTCCTTATCTCCTCAGAAGCTTCTTTTTTTTTCTTTAAAAGAAAGCTACTTTATTTATTTTAGCAGTTGCCTTTAAACAATTGAGAAAATAGGAATATTCTTTTTTATATATGTTTAGAGAATTAAAAATAACATTTAAGAATTGGCGTTTGGATAATAGTTTAGTTTTTGTTTTTTTAATATATTTTTATTGGTTTCAGAGAGGAAAGGAGAGGGAGAGAGAGGTAGAAACATCAGTGATGAGGGAGAATCATTGATTGGTTGCCTCATGCATGCCCCCTACCTGGGATCGAGCCTGCAACCAAGGCATGTGCCCTGACTGGGAATCGAACCTCTGACCTCTTGGTTCATAGGTCAACGCTCAACCATTGAGCCATGCCAACTGGGCTGTATAATAGTTTTCTTAGGCATCTACTTTTAAGAATGGGAAAGAAGTTATATAGTATTACCAAGCGTATAAATTTGCTATTTCTATTTACTCTGTATTGTCTTTATTTATGTAGATTTTTGTGTTCTTATTAATTTACTTTACCAATCTACTCATATATTGATTCTTTTTTAGGTATTCTCAGATTCTGTTCCTTAGTTAACAGTTCAGTTTTTCTGGCCTACAATATTATTGATCTCCATATATTTAAAAAAAATTTTTTTACTTTATTGATTTTCAGAGGGAGAGGAAGGGAAAAGCAGAGATAGAAACATCGATTAGCTGCCTCCTGCACATCCCTTACTGGGGATTGAGCCTGCAACCTGGCCGTGTGCCCTGACCAGAAATAGAACCGGTGACCTCTTGATTCATGCTCATCCACTGAGCCACTCCGGCTGGGCAATCTGTAGATATATTTTAATGTGGTACCTGCTGAGACTGGCAAGAGAGAAAATTATAAAACACGTTGAAGAGAAAATTAAAAACACCTTAATGTCAATTCAAACTGGAAATAAAATAGAAAAAAACAATCATAGATTTTTTGGGGCATTGAAAATACTAGAAGTTACCAACAAAGCAATAGAACATGTTTGTGACAGTCATATTTATTCAGCAAGGCTTGAGAAATATAGTGGAGTACAGTGAGTGCTACATTCCAGATTTTACCTTAGGTAAGTGCAGTATCGTGTGCCAGATTTAGCATACCCTTTGTCATGAGTTCTTAAATTCAACTGTTGCTAGAGTAGTTCTTATAAGGTTGTTTTAAAGCCAGCATACACATGTGGAAATTGAATGAAAGTCTAAATGGGAAGGTATAGGGTGGTGTGTGCCTGATGAGGGCAGAGAATAAGAGACCACTTGAAAGAGTGAAAGGTAGGGTATGTTTTTATACAGGAAGTGTCTTGTGGGAAAGATATGTTCTAAACTTGTTTAAAGATGATAGAGAACACTGACAGTTTAGGAACAGTCAGTATCCTATAGAATGGAAAATAAGAGATATGCTTATTAACTGCTGTTCCAGACCAACTTTGGTAAGGAAACAATACAATTAACAAGTAGGTAAAATATATAGTATGGCACACAATGAATGGTAAGAATTATGGGTGAGAAAATTGAGCGGGGAAGTACTAGGGCAGTGATTGGCGTTGGAGGTCACATTGCATTTTTGATGGTCAGAGAACCTCACTTAAAAGGTGGCCTTTTTAGTAAAAATCTGAAATAGTCAAGGGAATGACTGAGCAGTGTTTGAGAGCAGCGCTGTCTTGGTAAAAGGAGCTTAATTAGCATTTTTTTAAATAAAAAGCAGGAAAATCAATGTGGCTAAAGTGGAAAGAGCAAGAATGAGTATAGTAAGTGATGAAACAAGAAGATAAAAAGGAAGAGTGTGGGATGCTACCACTGGATAGATCTTGTATAGATTTTGGCGTATATTGTGAGATTAGAGGCCATTGGAAGATTCTGAGCAGGAGTGACATGATCTACTTTTCTTTAAACAAGATCTCTGGCTTTCTCATTCAAAAGAACCTGAAGGAGCTCAGAGCATATACCTGGGTTGCAGGTGGGGTTGGGGCATGTACAGAAGGCAACTGATAGATTAATAGATGATCTTTCTCTTGCATCAGTGTTTCTCTCACTAAGTCTGTCTTCAGGTGATTAAAAAAAAATAAACAAATTCCAGTTCCTGAACAAAATGAAATGTAATTATAAATTGTATTTTATTCATGTGATATTCTGTAAAGTTTTATGTTTTAAAATTTTGGTTTCTTTACACTTACAGTAAATTGGACTTTATCTATAATAAAAAAAGCATAATATGCTTATTAGACTGGACAGCCGGGTGAAGCCGCCGTGGTGGGGGCCAAGGCAGAGGTGGTTAGAGGCGATCAGGCAGACAGGCAAGAGTGGTTAGGCGATCAGGCAGGCAGGCAAGAGTGGTTAGGGGACGCGGCCGGAGCTCCAGTGGTGCAATCGGTTAGCGCGCGGTACTTATAAGAGTGGTTAGGGGCAATCAGGCAGGCAGGCAGGCAGGCAGGCTAATGGTTAGGAGCCAGCAGTCCCAGATTGCGAGAGGGATTTCTAACTGGCAGTTTAGGCCCGATGTCTAAACTGCCAGTCGGACATCCCCCGAGGGGTTTCGGATTGCGAGAGGGTTCAGGTCGGGCTGAGGGAACATTCCCCCCCCCCTCAACCCCCTGCACAGATTTCATGCACCGGGACTCTAGTTTTTATATAACAGATAACATAATGTTAAAAAATTGAATTCAGCCCTAACTGGTTTGGCTGAGTGGATAGAGCATCAGCCTGTGGACTGAAGGGTCCCAGGTTTGATTCCGGTCAAGGGCATGTACCTTGGTTGCGGGCACATCCCCAGTAGGAGGTGTGCAGGAGGCAGCTGATCGATGTTTCTCTCTCATCGATGTTTCTAACTCTCTATCCCTCTTCCTTCCTCTCCGTAAAAAACTAATAAAATATATATTTTTAAAAAATTTGAATTCAGTGACTTTTATATTGAGATTTAAAAACTCAATGAACTGAATTATTTACAGATTTTTTCCTATAGATCCTATTGAAATAATTATTCTAGCTTAACACTACGTACTAAGGCTGTACAGTGTTTTATAATATATCGTGATATTGCAATATTCTTTCCCTAATAGCCGCAGTTTGGCAGAAGCCTGTTCAGAAGGAGATGTAAATGCTGTGCGAAAGTTACTCATTGAAGGGCGAAGTGTAAATGAACACACCGAGGAAGGGGAGAGCCTCCTTTGTTTGGCTTGTTCTGCTGGATACTATGAGCTTGCTCAGGTTTGTATTATCAAAATAAAGCTCATGAGTTTTTAAATTTATTTTGTTTTTAATCTGGCCTGCTTAGTAGGGAAATAATAAAGGCAGCCATTAGGCTTGTTTCAACCAATAGTTTTGTTATCTACATTTTGTGTTTATTGGCTCTTCTATTTAGTATGATAATATAGGTGAAACATGTTCAAATTTTTTAATATAATTTCTAAACTTTTTTTTTTTCATAAGGTTTTGTTGGCAATGCATGCAAATGTGGAAGATAGGGGAATCAAAGGTGACATTACGCCTTTAATGGCTGCTGCTAATGGAGGACATGTCAAAATTGTGAAGTTGTTGCTAGCTCATAAAGCCGACGTCAATGCACAGTCTTCAACAGGTTATGTGTATTTTTTAGTTTTGTTAAATTTTAATACCCTTTGGTAATAATTAGTTAACATGAAAGTGGTCATTAGTGATGCTTTTGCAATTCTCTTATAAGCACTGCATGTTTGCATAAGTCTGTGCACTTGATGTAAAGTATATATACTATATTTTGAATGATATTTTGTATATAAGGGCAGTTACTTGGCCTTTTAAGGTTCTTTATGATTAAACACTGGCCCGGTTAGAAGGGTCTCTTTCTTGAAAAAGGATAGGTGTGAGCTCTGACTTGCAAACCAGGTTTCCTATTTTTGGGGGAGAAGGGAAGAGAAGATATGGAAGTATTGAATAAAAGGCAGGTATTTTCATTGCCTACTCTTATTAAATTGTGGCCTATAGAAAAAGAGAGTATATGAAAACATTGTGTCCCACAAGGGACATAATTTTAGTCTAATTTTTTTTCCTTTTAAATTTGGACATAGATGAAATTGTATAAAAGCTCTAAAATCATATGAAAATATATTTCATGCATTTTTTTTCATGCAAGACTTTCAAAACTATTAAATACTAAATAATTTTTAAGATCTACAGATTCTGGTTTGAAGGGATTTTAGAAATCCTTATTTTACTCAGAAAGTTGTTGTTGTTTTTTTCTTTTTCCCTCTGCATCCTCCCTCCCCCCAATATGGGAGAGAGAATATTTTTGAAATTTCTTTAACTTTCATCAGTTAACTGATATTTGAAATTGTAGAGAAAACAAATATGTATGATTAAAAGAATGGTATGAGGTGTATCTGTATATGATGAATAATTACATCCCAGAAAATAAAGCTTGTGAAACATTTCTCTGATTAAAGTTAGAATGAACATAACCTATTTCTCATCTGAAAAGTTAGTTTCAGAATTGCTCAGTTCTTTTATAACTCTACAATCATGGTGGAGTGTATCTGATTTTTCACATGTATTTGACCCTGAATTTAAATGGAAAGAGTAGAAAGTTGATTTCAGTAAGATAAAATGCAGTAAGGAACAGAGTTATATATAAGTATATTATCTAAACTTATTAAGGCTATAATATCCCATTTCATTTTCTTTTTTTTATGCTAAATTAGATTCTGTTTTATTTTAGTATTTTATGTTAATGTCTTTTTGCTTTTTTTTTTTTTCTTCACTAAAATAGGCAATACAGCACTTACATATGCTTGTGCTGGAGGCTATGTAGATGTTGTAAAGGTGCTCTTGGAATCCGGTGCTAGTATTGAGGACCATAATGAAAATGGTCACACTCCTCTTATGGAAGCTGGAAGTGCTGGACATGTGGAAGTAGCCAGATTGCTGCTAGAAAATGGGGCTGGCATTAATACGCATTCCAATGAATTTAAAGAGAGTGCCCTTACATTAGCTTGTTATAAAGGTACAGTACATAAAATATTTTTTTAAAAGAAAGTTTTAAATGTAAAATGACAGTTTGTATTTTTTAATTAAAATTAAAATTAAAACATAATAGTGTGTAGCATGTAATTAATTGACGTGTTTAAAGTCTTTTGAAGTAAAAGTCTAATAAGTAAACTTTTAAAAAAATATAGACTTAGTATTGCCAATATTGTCAATAAAGAATGACTATTGGGCCCTAACTGGTTTGGCTCAGTGGATAGAGCGCCGGCCTGCGGACTGAAGGGGGTCCCAGGTTCGATTCCAGTCAAGGGCATGTACCTTGGTTGCGGGCACATCCCCAGTAGAGGGTGTGCAGGAGGCAGCTGATCGATGTTTCTCTTGCATCGATGTTTCTAACTCTCTATCCTTCTCCCTTCCACTCTGTAAAAAATCAGTGAAATATATTTTTAAAAAATGACTATTTGATCCAGTTACTTTATAAGAAAGTCATTTAATTTTAATATGCACTTTTAACTAGTGTTGCATGTTAGAATATTTTTCCTGGTTCAAACAAAAAAATGCGATTGAAACCAGAAGTATTCAGCCTGTGAGTTTAAAAGAAAACACATTAAATGTAGCTAGAATGACCTAACAAGAAGGTACTTACGGTATTTCTTATGATACCAAAAAGAAAAGAGAAAAATTGAAGAAAAAGGAGGAGATATGAGAAGAAGAATGAAAAGTGGTATGAAGGGAGTTTGAATTCAAAAGAACAATTTTAGAGTATCATTTAGTAAAGTTAAAAGTATGAGCTGGTTGAGATTGAGAATGCCTCCCCATATATAGCTGTACAAAGGAGATACATAATATTTTAAGTGATGTAAACAAACCTGAAAATATTGATAATACAGAAAAATACTCTTTTGGTACGGCAACACAATTGTTTGAAAAGATGCTTTGGTCTTCAGCTAGCAAATGCTCTAGATTCTGCATTCTAAAAAGACAGCCCACGGAAGCAGATATTTTTCAAACTTCACCTTTATGACAGATAAATGGCTATAAACCTAAGGAACTTTAAAAAAGCAAATTTTATGAAATTTGAGGTCTGCATAGCCATTCAATTCAATGCTCCATATCTACAGCTATGCCATTCTTGTTTCATAAAATAAGTGATGAATTGTTGACATTGAGGCATCAAGAAAAAGCTCTTGCAAGGCGAAAATAAAGTTTAAGGAGACACTTTCAGTGGCTGAATCTTCACTTACCCAAGTGTTCCAGTGAATACCTCCTTAAATTTTGTACTCAGGACTTTGTTGCCTCACCCTAGTCCTGGCCCTGGTGTTTTGTTCCATTCTATTTCAGAGTGCCCAAGATTGTGTGAGTTCTTTTGGAATAATTTTCTTCAAAATATGGTTAAGATAATGCTTAGATACATAAATGACTAAAATAGAAGTTAAATGTGAAAATATAGTCTATCTGAAGTGTTTTTGATTATCTGGTGGTAACAAATTTTCAGATATAGGGAGATTAGGAAGCACAGCTGAGATCTATTAGTTCCCCAGTTCTGCTGGGTAATTAGGCAGAGGCCATTCTTCTGGAAGGAGAAAAATTAAGCAGGCTGGTTGGGTGGCTCACTGCCATTTTCACAAATACTTTTTGAACCTGCTTGCATTTTACTACTAAGTCCCAGCTAGCCAGAAGAGCATTGAGATGAACTATATATATATAGCTACTCTTCCTCTTTCCTTTGCTTGTAGCCCCGCCCTGCTTTCCAAAAGGGGCACCTGTAGTTGGGGCTTGCAGGCTTTAATTAGAAGCTGGATATATAACTGAACTAGTGGAGGTATCTAGTACTTTCACGATCTAAGAACCCTCTCCGTTTCCTCTATTTCTGGTGAGGTCTCTTAGACCACAGATTGACAAGGAGGAGATGGAGATGGGATAGAACTCAGGCTGAGGCTCAATATTGATGTGGGTATTTAGGAAGGGAGAATGACAGAGAAAAGGTAGCAAAAACAAGATATGGCAGATACTGCACTCACCAAAGTTAGTTTTGTTTAAACTGTTTATCTGTGGTTCCACTATCCACTGCTCTCTAGTTCCAGTTGATTGAAAATTGACTGAAGCTCATTCCAAATAATTTTGGGGGGAAATTATTAATTTTTCTATTATATCTGAAGGCATTTCAAAAATTTGTCTTTATAACTACTTATGTGTTGTCTTTATCTTAACTGAAACATATGGTTTATTTGAGACTACATAAATATGTGTACGTGCGTGGGTATAGTATATTTATATCTAAACTGAATAGCCCTGGTCAGTTTGGCTCAGTGGATAGAGCTTCGGCCTGGGGACTGAAGAGTCCCAGGTTCCATTACTGTCAAGGGCAAATTCCTCGGTTGCAGGCTTGATCCACCCAGGATGTGTGCAGGAGGCAACCAATCAATGTGTCTCTCACATAGATATTTCTCTCCCCCTTCCACTATCTCTAACTCTCCCTTCTACTCTAAGAAACAAAACAAAACAATGGAAAAATGTCCTCAGGTGAGGGTTAACAAAAATAATAAATGAATAAATATTGAATAAATGCTGTTGTTTCAAGAATATTATTATGTATGCAGTTCTCAATGTGTATGCAGGTTGTTCCTAAAAAGTTTCAGTTATTTAAATTTAAAACACATTTTCTCATAGAAATAACTTCAAGGATTATAATCATCCTAGGCTGCTAGTTCATGATAGTTAATTTATTCCACACCATAAATAAAATAACTATAGCATGCCTGGTCTCTTAAAAGGTGGTAGAGGGGATATTCTGGGTGTTGGACTTTAATGGCATCTTTGACAATCTACTGCAAGGATACTAGTAGTAACAGTTGTAGGGCAGTGGGGTAAGGAGTAGAACACCAAAGATCATTGGTATAAGTTGTATTCAGCCATTGAGGATAACTTGTAGCTGACCTGAGTATTATTTGTAAAAATGTATTGCTATAATTTAAATAAAACTTATTAAAATATTATAATATGTCATACATTTTTTGGAATAAGATTTTTAAGTAATCTTAATACACTTTTGGTTTAGGACACCTAGAGATGGTGCGATTTCTTTTGGAAGCAGGCGCAGATCAAGAGCATAAAACAGATGAAATGCACACTGCTCTAATGGAGGCTTGCATGGTAAGATTGGTGAAATAACATGAAATATATTTACATATTTTATATAAATAATATATAATGTACATTGAGTGTCTTTTCCTTGAGCTCAAAATTTCTGTTTATTTTAAAGTAAAAAAATATCTGCATTAAGATAAAAAAATTCTGTTTAATACAGACTTATTATGGAACAGAACCTCAGCTGTCTTGAATTATCAATAGTTTTCAGAGACAGTTATACAACATTGACTTCTATTAGAAGTGCTTTCTGAAGCTTTACAGCATTACCTTCATTTTCTTAGTCTCACATAACTCTACTGGTTTTATGTGATTGGCACAAAAAGCGACTTTTTTTGTAGTTTTTGCATTTATTTTGCTTTTAAATCTTTATTGATGAAAGTTTTATATATGTCCCTTCTCTCCCTGCCCCCATTGACCCCTTCTAGCCCACCCCCACCCCAAGCCTTCACCACACTATTGTCTGTGCCCATGGGTTATGCATATATGCATACAATTTAAAGTGACTTTTAAGAAGGTTGATCAAAGATATTAAAGAGGAGACTATAATTCACAGAGTATACACATATTTCTAAGCATAACATGTTTATGAAACCAATAATTTTATTTATGAGAAATTTGAAATTAGACTATTACTTGTGTTACGTTTTTCCCTCTCTATCATGGTTTTTCTGGGCCCTGAGTTCCTTTTGTAAGAACTCTGTTTTAGAGTGTATATGTGGGGATGGGTGATAATAGTACTCTTAAATTTCTGTATCTCAATCTATAATTTGTGACACAAAAATGGATCAAAGTGACATTATAGACAGATTAATGAGAAAAACATGCCCAAGATAGATAAAGGCTTCAAATGAATTTGAAGTTTCTGGTCTCACCTTCCCTTCAGAGAATGGTTATTAAAAGAATGTTAATTTTTAATTACTAATTTAAAAATATTAGGTAGCCATTTAAGACTTGAGTTATCTTTGTGTGTGTTTTTGTTGTTGTTATTGCCATGCCAGTGTTTGCTTTAGTAAATTATTTTTTTAAACAAAAAGTTTTCTCCAAAGCTTTTGAGTTCCCTATTTTCTAACATGAGAAATAATACCTTTCTCTGGGGTTGTTATGAAGATTAAATGAGATAATGTGTATAAAACACATCAATAATATCCTCATGATAAAGAACTTAAAACATCTGCCACCCCCACTAGAGAAACAACCCATAAGTAGATTAAGAAATTAAAATGAAATGTTCTGTAGCTCTAACCAGAATGCACTGGAAGTGTTATAAGTAGGTGAAAGATATTAGTAGGGGCCAGGCAATGTAGGACTTGACTACAGAGGGAGAAAATTCTGAGCTGGAGGAACACCAAAGTAACCTTAGTAATAAGACATTAAAGTGATATCATATGGCAGACACGGAGGCAAAAATGAGTGTGACGTTAAAAAAGAAGATGAAATGCCTCTGAGGTAATACATAGAATGGAAAAGTATATCAAAGGAAACGACAATAATGGAAAGAGGAACCTTAGAGTTGCTAATAGTTAGGAAAGCTGTGGTAAAAGGGGACAGAAGATAATCAGAGAGCACTTCTTTTTTTTTCTTAATTTTCCTTGGCATTTGAATGTTGAACAACAAAGGAAGTACCATATGCATATTGTGTTCCCCTTCCCCTCACATGCACAATTCTCCCACTCCTAACTGTATTGCATTTTTCTTTACCTAATCTAAAGATTGCTTGTTCTTAAGGTTTCTACAAAAAATCCAACCTTCGCTTTCTAACCTTTATTCTTTTAGCATTTAAGTTTATACCATGCAGTGTTGATGTTATCGTATAGTAGTCTCTTGTTTCATGTACTTACTGGTTTTTCCCCTTATGGTTAATAAACTTTTTGATTGAATGCATCATTTTCCTACATGTTTTATATCCTCAATCTCTATTTCCTACTCTGTACTGAAGAAATATAAATAGGTCTTAATACTTGCTTACTCAACTGTTAGTATAGATTAATTTTTATTTGAATGGAGATTAGTAAGTTTCATTTGTATAATAAATGAGAAATCTTCATATTTTTAAAGCTTTTTTAATGGTGCTGATTTAATTTTTTAATTGCATTGTAATTAGGATGGCCATGTTGAAGTAGCTAGGTTACTTCTTGACAGTGGTGCCCAAGTGAACATGCCTGCTGATTCATTTGAGTCACCATTGACATTGGCTGCATGTGGTGGGCATGTGGAACTTGCGGCCTTACTTATTGAAAGAGGAGCTAGCCTGGAAGAGGTCAATGATGAAGGTTATACACCATTGATGGAAGCAGCTCGTGAAGGACATGAAGAAATGGTGGCATTACTTCTAGGCCAAGGTAACCATTCCAATTAAGACACTAAAGCATAAATGTGTAAAACAGTGGTTCTCAACCTTCCTAATGCCACGACCCTTTAATACAGTTCCTCATGTTGTGGTGACCCCCAATTTCATTGTTACAAATTGAACATAATTAAAGCATAGTGATTAATCACAAAAACAATATGTAATTATATATGTGTTTTCTGATGGTCTTAGGCGACCCCCAAAGGGGTCGCGACCCACAGGTTGAGAACCGCTGGTGTAAAATGTAAATTATAATTTTATAAAATTAAATTCAGTATTTTATCTTTCTAATAGATTTGTAATGAGGATTGTCACAAAAACAAATGATAAAATATTTGCTTTGAAAATGGCTTCTATACTATGCTCAAAATCAAATAGACTTTTTAAATATAGAGCTTTCAGAGTCATCGTGTGCTATGTGTTTAAAAACAGAGAGAACTGGCCCTGGCCAGTGTGGCTTGGTTGGAGCGGTGTCCCGTACACCAAAAGATCTCAGGTTCAATTCCTGGTCAGGGCACATACCCAGGTTGCAGGTTCAATCCTTTTATAGGAGGCAGCCAATCAATGTTTCTCTTTCACATGGATGTTTCTCTCCCTCTCTCTCTAAAATCAATAAAAACATATCCTCAGGTAATTAAAAGAAATTTAAAAAACAAAACAAAAAACCCACAACAGAGAAATGGAGATGGGGTACTTCTCAAGCTAATATAAGAAAATTTCTCTTGGGGTAGAATACCTGTTAATATTTCATATATCTACTGTTTCATGAAACAGTATGAGAAATCCTGCCATAAAGATTAACTTGATAAAAATGCTAGAATGCACATATAAGAAGGTATAGAAGAGCCCAGTACACATGGACTTCTCTTGGGAAAAATAAAAGAGTTACTTTATTGTATTAAGATACCTTAAGTTTAGAGTAATCTCCCATCGCTATCCATACTTTTAGTTTAATTTTTATATCCCTTTTAATAGTAAAGTTTTTGTTTGGACAAATTTAAGAGGAATGGCCCATTTTACTAAAACCTTTTTATCGAGAGGTAATATTGACTAGAATTTTAAAAACGTAGTTTGAGCAGACTTTTTAGGTTTGAATCACAACTCCATTGCTTGTCAATTTTGTAACTTAATGCAAGTTTCTAATCTTCTATGCCTTAATTTTGTCATCTTTAGGGTTTTTGTGAGACTATATGTATGTTATATATACTATTTATCATATAGTACCTGTTAAGTGTTAGCTATGGTGATGGTGGTAATAGTGATAATGATAATGTTGTGACCTTGGACAAGTTAATTAACCTCAATTTTCTTAGGTATAAAATGGAGCTAAGCCCTGACTGGTTTGGCTCAGTGGATAGAGCGTCAGCCTGCGGACTCAAGGGTCCCAGGTTCGATTCTGGTCAAGGGCATGTACCTTGGTTGCGGGCACATCCCCAGTGGGGAGTGTGCAGGAGGCAGCTGATCAATGTTTCTCTCTCATCGATGTTTTAACTATCCCTCTCCCTTCCTCTCTGTGAAAAATCAATATAATATATTTTTTAAAATGGCGCTAATATGTAGAATGCTTTCAATATTGCACCTGATTGTACCTCTTGGCTGAATAAAGCTTGCTTCAGCTAGGTACATCAAATATCCACTAGTGGATATGGTTTTGATGGTTTATTTTTAACTGCTTCTCAGAGTAAGGGAGAGGCACTTTATTATTTAGTAAAGTAACGTAAATGTTCATTTTTGAAGTATAGTTCATTAGGAAATAAATATGTTTTGCTTATCTCTGGAATAAGTTAATGACTTTCTTTAATTATCTTAGGAGCAAATATCAATGCACAGACAGAAGAAACTCAAGAAACTGCTTTGACTCTGGCTTGCTGTGGAGGCTTTCTGGAAGTGGCAGACTTTCTAATTAAGGCAGGAGCTGATATAGAACTAGGGTGTTCTACCCCCTTAATGGAAGCTGCTCAAGAGGGTCATTTGGAGTTAGTTAAATACTTATTAGCAGCAGGTAGGCATTTTTGCATTTGGGAGGAGTTTTTTACATGATTTACTTAAGTAAAACTGTTATAATGCAAATAATTTTCCTGATTTTATGGTACACTAATATGTGTGTGAATGTGTGTGAAAAATGACATGATAATATTTGTGGGTATTCTGAATAAATATTATCTTATTGCTATTTAAGGTATCTGCAACTTAAATTCCAAGCGGTGATTTTTTTTTTTTTTTGGTTTTGCTTGTAAAGATGCTGACAATACTCTCTATTTTCTAGAAATGAATAAAGATATTTTGTCTAATTAGAGGAGATATGGCTTATCTGGAAGAAATTTCTGTGTCCTCATTTATATCTTATGATTGTTTTATTAAGTCTGTGTATTGTGTAATACTGTTACAGGAGCTAATGTGCATGCAACAACAGCAACAGGAGATACAGCACTAACATATGCCTGTGAAAATGGTCATACTGATGTAGCAGATGTGTTGCTTCAGGCAGGAGCAGATCTGGTAAGCTATGTCACATTTTAAACCCTAATATTTAAAACTAATGCAAGAAATTAATTTAAAATTTTATGGAGAATATAGACAAAAGGAATTTATTTCTGATTTTATGTTAGCTTTTTTACCATAATTATCTCATTTAGTCATGTTTTTGTTGTTTTTTACACTGTTTGGTGACCATTAGTATTTTCCTTGTTAGCAGGACTACATAATCTACTGACCCTCATTCCCCACACACACAAAAAGGAAAAACCATGTGTTCGATATATTAGTACAAAATTATTTCCTCTTGTATATTTAGCTCTTTTTAGAAGCTTTTCTGATTTGCTATAAAAAGGCAAATAGGGCTTAGAGGTATTTCACTGAACTTAGGAAATAAATTTTTCTTATACTATTCAAAGCATTAAATAAAATAAATTTAAAAGATGGTATATTTAATAAAGAATATTTTTTCTCAAATAATTGTTAATTAGTAAGAAAGATGAAAGCCCTAGCTGGTTTGGCTCAGTGGATAAAACACTAGCTTGTGGACTGAAGGGTCCCCAGTTCGATTCCAGTCAAGGGCACATGCCTGGATTACAGGCTCGATCCCCAGTAGGGGGTGTGCAGGAGGCAGCCGATCAATGATTCTCTCTCATTGATGTTTCTATCTCTCTCTCCCTCTCCCTCCCCCTCTGAAATCAATTATATATCCTATATAATAAAGAGGTAATATGCAAATTGACTATCACTCCAACACAAGATGGCCGCCCCCATGTGGTCAAAGATGGCCGCCCCCATGTGGACACAAGATGGCCG